ATTGTGTAGGACTTGAAACGTTTTTTTTAAAGCCTACATATTCCATAATGTATAGGCTTTAGTGTGACATTACATCACCCATATTATAGAGAGGTGAATATGACCACACCAAATCCTAGACCTTTCTTTGTAGCTCCTTTTAGCAGCAGCAATCAATGTGGTCTTCCTGCAACAACAGCAAGCAAGGGTATCAGCAAGGAAGCACCCTGTCTGCTGTTCCCTTTAGAGAAGACAGGGTTCACAGCAGCAGCGGCATCATGTTTAGGCTTTAGGCTGACTCTTATGGCAACCGAAAGTTGGCCCGACGGATTTTTTTGGACTGGCATATACCCCCACCCCTCGGATTTGCCACGGATTCGACCAAGAAACAGACCTCTCAACACATCACCACAGAGTTCTCCCTCCATGATGGTCGGATCGTCACCAGAACTTGAAGGCTGTACGCACCACACCTGTAGGCGTCTTGGAAGCACGTGGTGACTGCTGTGGGGTCTGTGTGTGCGCAGAAATGTCAATCCATGTGAACCAAACTATCGTATAGAATCCTCGACGGATTCTCCATACGGATTCATGCTTTAATTTGCTCACATGGATTGACATTTCTCAGCACACACAGACCCCACAGCAGTCACCACTAGCTTCAAAGACGCCTATAGGCGTGGTGCGTACAGCCTTCAAGTTCTGGTGACGATCCGACCATCGTGGAGGGAGATCTCTGTGGTGATGTGGTGAGAGACCTGTCTCTTGGTCGAGTCCGTGGCAAATCCAGGGGGTTCGGGGTATGCCAGTCCAAAAAAATCCGTCGGGCCAACTGTCGGTTGCCATCAGAGTCAGCCTTGTTGCACGCACTAAATCTATAACATGCAATGTAACCACAACACACAGCAGCGCGCTCTAAACCTATCTTCAAGAAGTAAGTAAGTAAGAGAGAACATGTATAGGTTGTACTATACCACACTATTTCCTACATATATCTATGTATACGTATACGGTATATAACAGACCCCCCCCCTTCCCCCAGTGTCGAAGTTCAGGTGGAGAGCAGGTGCGGAGTTGGCGGTCGCTGTACACAGCAGTCGAGGGGTGTCGGGAGGGGGGCGGTGAACGCGTCTGCAGAGCCGGTTGCCTAGCACCGGTGGCCATGGGTAGCGCCCGTGATGATGCTGGGTGCAACGACTGAACCACAGGTACATTACTGTTTTCAGCAAACAACGCACTCTTTATCTCTTTATCTTGCTATTTGTGGGAGCATATCATACCACAACGTCTGCCCACCTGCAGATGTGCTGTGCACAAGAACGTCGCGGTGCATTAGACTTGCATATTAGAGTGGCCGCACGTCGTTTTTTTTTTGTCCTTCATTTGAATTGGTTCTACATACATACCTGGTGCGCTTCACTCGTTGCTTATCAAAACAATCACGGGGGAGATATCACTGTTTCCTGATCAGGAAATCGTGGGAAAACATAACCTTCGCTGACGCCATGGATTCATTTTCGTTGCTAATCTATCTTAGATTATTCGATAGAGATGGATTCGTCTGGCTATACCGATGAAATATAGAGGGAATATCTCGAACGGGTACGCTCGATTTCTCGACAGAAGAGAGAGTCACAGCGCCGACAACGGCGTCGTTGAAGCCGCCTTGTCGAGAGCTTTCCGAAATGTATCGGTACGTTTATGCATGTTCTTCGTTGTGGCGTAATCGAGCTTTGAAAATCGGTCCAGGGGGTGTGTTATCTTGTGTCGTATATGGTAGGCTTTGTGTGAGGTTATGTTTACTTTCTACAAAGAAAAAAACCTTTGGTATATTTTCATTACGCCGACTGACTACAGTACATCTTTACGCGACGTACGAACGCGTGAAACTCACATCGTCGAAAACTTACTTACCCTTATTTCGTACCGATGTCATCATCGCCTCTACTTCCTCTGCCTCTCAAACCTCTGCACCCGTCCCACGCATGCTGGCCGCCCGCCCCGTAAGGAGGGGGGGGGGGCAATCGCTCCCCCTAGTTTATTCAGTATCGGCGCACAGACCGACACCGGACACCATCACTCCAAACGTTCCCCCCTTGGTGCGATATTTGTTTTCCACGTACGTACATGTACATCACGAACCCTCTAGACCGCTTTTTTCTTGCTAAATAAAGCAAAGGAGCCCCCCTGCAGTTGTTGAACAGCTCTCTCGATATTTTCCAGCGACACCCTATTTGTCAAAGTGCTGTCCACGTCACCAGTTTGCCTTCAGGGTTCGGGGAAATTCCAATGACGTCGAACTGCTCCTTTCTTGTCTCGAACAGTCCTTCTCTTCCACCGCGATCCTATTGTGAAGTGCTGCACAAGTTACCAGCTCTCTTCAGGGTCCGGGGAAATGTCGTACAGTCCCTTCTTTCCCGCGCAACCCTTTTGTGAAGCGCTGACCAAACTTCAGGGTTCGGGGGAAAGTTCCAACTGCAGCTTTCCGTGTCAGACTACAGAGTGCGTAGTGTGACTGCAGAGTTCTTCGGCTTCACGGCTTACTTCCTGGGATGCGTATGTGTGCCGGCAACCCATTCGGCGAGACCTTGATGGTTGATGATAAGACTTATCTCTAGTCTTGGCTGAATTTCATTGTGCTGCTGATGATGCAGCTCCTCCTTTCTCTGTAGATGCAGTGACTCCTGCTGCTCTCGATGAAGGAAATTAGTTGCCCAGCTCCTAGCTCCTTTATGTAGGGTGGTCTGCAGCCGCGCCGCCTACTCTGTCAGGAGGTAGACCCGCGCCGATTGGAGATCTTCTTCTACCGGTGGGGTTCTCGCGTGGTTGTGACGGGATCAGCGTCACCAATTCCACCGAGACGTCGTGTGAATTTAGCCGGATCAGGACTCAAATTGCACCGACCGCAGTTCTCGATTACACGGGTTGGGAATCGCGCTCGCTCCACCTGCACCCCCAGGTACCCCAGTAGCCGGCGGCATCTCCAGACCCTCTGGTGTTACCTGATGCTGGTTACTGGTGTACCCGGAAACGGTCGATTTCGTAGCCAGAAATGGTCATATAACCCCGGCGCCGAAGACTCTAAAACCCGCAGAAAAAACCGTGTACCGCACATTCCCGCACGACACACGAGTCAGTCTAATTTCACGTTTTCATCGACTCGTGGGCCCGGGCTCCTCTCCTAGAGGGGGTCGAACTCGCTCGATCCGCGAGCTAGCTCGCTGTGGTGCTCGTTGTTGAAATACAGCGTATTACTGCTGTAGGATGTGTGTAGTATAATAGATGCAGCTGTATGATTGCTGTATGCAATGATACGTAGATGCGGTACGTTTGGTAAAACGTACCATGTGTGACGAGTTCTAGCGAGGAGCTCACGAATGAATTGATGGTTGAGCAGAGGATTGTAATTGTAGCGAGATCACGAGGTGTTGCGAGCCCCACCGGGTTCACTTCCCAGCTATCCCTCACCATCTCAACTCTGCAACTGAGCTAGGCTCCGGTGCCATCGGCAGGCAATAATGAAAGTCCCATTGAGGCAACAATGATACCAACTTCAGTCTCGACGACTACACACAGGCCTAACCGCTTGCAGACACGACCCTTGGGTAAAGGGCACCTCGACAACACATTTCTACATGGATGGCATGCTGGCTGGTGTGTGAAGAATCTACTACATAGACGGACGCGTCTTTTCTGGAGGCATCGATTTCACAAGGACATCGCGAGATCAGCAAAACAGCGAGGACTGAAGACCGCCTAC